GGGGGGGGGGGGGGGGGGGGGGAGGGGCGGGAGGGGTCGGTGGTGGGCCATAATAATCATATACATTGTATATTGACAAAATAAAAAATTAAAAAAAAAATGGTGGTCATGGGCATGGTTTGGAGGGCTTTAAGAGGAGAGTGAATGAGGAGGTTAGTTTCTCTCTCTGCTCCACCATTTTCTACCATGTGAGACCCCTGGGTCATAGTCACCACTGTGAAGGCCTTCACCAGCTGTTTTCCCTGGACTTTGGACTTCACAGACTCAGTGACTATAAGACAGAAATGGACTAACACAGCAAGTATGTGAAGCTCCTCACACTGTCATGCTGGAAGTGGCACCTTCCCATGTTACATTTTGATCCTAGACAAGCCCCCCAAACACTCCTAGAGTTATCAATTTTCCATAAGCATTTTTAGACATCTAATACACAAATCTGAGTGGTTTTGCTGCATTTCAATCTCTGATAATAAATTGTGATGGAGTCTGGATGTGTTGTCCCCTCCAAAACTCATGTGGAAATTTGATCTCCAATGTGGCAGTGTTGGAAACTGGTTGAGTCATGGGGGTGGATCCCTCATGAATGGATTAAGGCTCTCCCTGGGGTACCCGCCTTCTTCTCCTTCTCTGTTCTCTTCTCATCCTGGACACTCATCCTTATTCTTTCTACATCCTTCCCAGGGCCCATTTGCTACACCATCTCCCTGAATTACACAATCTTGTCATTGGTATTTGGAACTCAGTGCATATTTTTCGGTAGAAAAAGTTTTATACATGGAAGGTGATTTCCTAGGTCAGTTCAGAAAATCTAATTTAGCCCATAATGTACCAAAAAGCAATGTAGCACTTATGATAGCACTTAGTGTTGAAATATGTAATTAAATAAAGCAATTATACAAAATACATCCCCAAACACATTTCTACAAAAAAAAAATATATATATCAGTCAAGAATTATTCAAGTTTCCTCATGAGGAAAAGAAATTTTAATTAAAAATTCTTTTCAGAATTTCTGAAGATGATTTCCAGGTAATTTTAAGTTTCAGATTTGATGGTTTAAATACCAATATATTTTAAAGTTCTCTTCAAAATCTGCTGCTCATGAGAAGAAGCAGGTGGTACTGGAATGGACATGGGCTTTGGAAGCTTGGACACGGTTTGAATCAGACTGTCATCATGCATGAGTGTGATTCTAGAAAGTTCTCTAATCTCTCTGAGTCTCTACCTGAGAAAACCACAATCAAAGCTGTTCGCAAGGCTGCCATGAGGAAGGAAGGGCCCGGCTGAGTGACTGACTACTAGACAGCAGTGGCATGAACTGGTTAAGAGGGCAAGCTTTATAAGATGGGCTGTGAGCGTTCAAATCCTGGTTGTAAACCCTGTTAAGCATGGGATCAAGATGAGTTACTTAACCTTTCTGTGTCTAATTATCTGTAGACTAGAGATATAATTAGGAACTTACCAAAGAAGAATAGTTAGAGGAATAAAAGAGTTGATATACAAGGGTACTTCAAAAAGTTCATGGAAATATTTGTACCATCTTTCTTTTTTTTTTTTTTTTTTTTTTGGCAGATGGCCAGTATGGGGATCCAAACACTTGATCTTCATCTTTCTTTCTTTTCTTATTTTTAAATTTATTTTTTTAATTGAAACATAATTGATTATAAACCTTTATCTTTCAATTCTATTTTTCTAGAAACTTTTTGAAGGACCCTCATACGTAAAACATATAGCAAGCCCTCTGTAAGTATGAACTGTGATTATGAGAAGGTGCATTAAGAGAGGATTAGTAGAATAAGTGTGCAGGCAAGCTGGGTGGGGGTCAGGGAGGAAGGAGCATCTGGTGGAGAGGTCTTAACTGGGCTTGTCCTGGGAGCATGGGATGCTGAGAGTCAAATGAAAGCATCATGCCCAACACATTGATACACTGAAGCTCAGTACTGGCAGACAGATGCAGATGTCAGGTCTGTAGGGGCCAAGGGCAAGACTTGAGATTGGCAGGACAGAGCCACTGGTTTAGAGTGGAGCTGAGATGAAATTGCAGGCCAGGCTTGGGGGCTCACCTCTGTGGGCCACTAAGTTTGTAGTACATGGGCGAGTTAGGCCAGTCTAAGGGGCTGGAGCACGTAGGACAAAAGGATGAACACAAAGAACGAAACTGCAGCAGAACTCATATTACAGAACTACAGAAACTGACAGGTTATTATATTACTTCCCATGCTTTATAATGAGAGATATCTACAGGCAAGAGAGGGTCATGATTTCATCAACAGTATTACCAATCCTGTGAATTACAACTTTTACTGGATGTTAACTCTTCATATTTGTAAGATGGTCAATTTTTCAAAACATGTTCACATCTACTAGCTCACTGGTTACTCCCAACATCCCTTTTCTCCAGGTGAGGACATCGCTACATAAACAGGTTAAATGTTACCAACATTACATGGCTGCTTGGAGGCAGAGCTATAACCTGGGCCTCATGGCCCCCAGCTCCCTTTGCACTGGACCACAAAGCCAAATGTATAACCTTTGGCCATGAGTCACCATGGAGCATTGGGACGGGCGTGTGGGCTCTGTCTAGAATAACAGTCACCACCTAACTGTGGAACAGGTACCTTTTCTAATCCTGCAGAACCTCGGAGAAAGAAATTCCATTCAGCCTCTGTTAGGATTTCTTGCTGACGCATGATCTCAACACAGAGCATAAAGCTGTAGATCAGTTTGTGTTGTTCAAAAAGTCCTCTTGAAACATTGATATAAGCAGTTAGGAGAGTTTGCTCCAGTAGTATTTCCAGGCGCTGTTGTAGATTTTCTGTCTTTACAGAAGTTTCAATTGTTGTGTTGAACAACTGTGTGAAAGAGAGCTCTATCAATGTCTCCAATTTAATTCATTTTCTGTGGAGAAACATAATCCCTGTTCCTTCCCTCCCCTCTCCTCATATTAAGTGAGTAAATGGCAGCACAGGAGGTAGGCGATTACTGTACTATGAAAAAGTCTAGAATTTGTCCCAAATTGGTATATGATATTTATTTTCTGCACTCCCCTTTCTCTTACATTTTTCATTTTTCAGAAATGGACCAATGCCGATGCCAATCTCCTTTGTTTTCGTGGCTGGCCAGTAAGGTGATCTGAACCCTTTCACTTTGTTGTTATATAATACTGTGCTCTAACCAACTAAGCCAACTGGCCAGCCTAATGCCAAACTTCTGACATATTGAAAAGACAGTATCTTGATACCAGACATAAAATTGTGGAAAACAGAGGTGAGCTGGCAGGAACAGTTTTGCACATCCTCAACTTAGATTTGATAAGCCCTTCATTTTGGGGTGAGAGATGTAAAAGCAGGTCAGGCCATGTGCTCTTCTTAGCACTTCCTCAAGAGAATTCTTATGATGCGGATAGAGTGTGCTAGAATTTTCCTTGAAATTTAAGAGAAATTGATTTAAAGGAGACTTCCACTCTGTTTCCTACCCAGAAAGTTTGAGAGCAGGTCCCCTACTCCAAAGGTGCCCCACACTACAAGGACACTGGGAAGGCAGTAGAGATAGTGGCATTGAGGGAGCAGCCGTGAGAGGGCTAGAGGCATCCCTATCCATTTTCTGCAACTTCTAGGTAGTGTGGAAGGCAGAGCCTAAGTTGTGCGAGGAAGCTGAGCAGGGTCTGGACAGTGGGTCTGCCTGGAAGTCATGGGGCAAGGAGATCTTTCAGCAGAGACTGTGGAGGAAGCCCTCCGGGGTCTAGATGGGCATGTGGCTGCAGTCTCAAGTCCCACAGCCTGAGGCAAGGTAGTACTTGCCCAATCCCTGGGATCAGGGTACATTGCTCCTAGGGAGATTAGAAAGATCAAAACAGACTGGGAGCTGGAAGCCCACTGAGGACCAAGGTGGATCAGGACTAAGAAGTGTACTCCACTCCTCCCTAAACACACTGTGCTGCAGTTGTGCAGGCCTTTCTTTTACCCACCCCTTCTGCTAACAGGATGGAACACAAATGGAAAATAGCCTGTCATCTCTTCACCAAAAGACAGGTCTTCATTCCTGAAAATGAAAGGGCTTAGAGGACACAGGTAACTATTGTAGAGAATTGGGCAAGTCCTTGTTAATTCTCCTCAAAGTTTGGTTGACAAAGGGTAATAGAATTTTTGTTTTAACACTTTCAGAAGAAAAGAGGATTGAACTTTTTTTTAACAACTTGACAAGAAGCAGAGATATTAAAGGCCAGTGAGGATGTGATAAATTTGGTGCCAAAACAAAACATGGTGAATCTCAAAATGCCCTGAAGAATTTTAGTGTGAAATGGAATTATGAGGGGGTTTGGGAGAGGATGCTCTGGCCAAGGCTGCCACCTACAAATGTTTTGGGTTTCTGGTTTCCCTTCTAAACTGTGAAATTCCAGGGCTTTGATGACTCATACTATTATCATTTTTCTCTTACTCCAAGATATTTTTAGAGTATCTTTACTTTCATTTTTTGAAGGAGATTTTAAGATCTTGAAAAGCACAAATTCCAAAATACCCAGGGTAAGAAAAGTGTTATCAGAATCATTGAGGTGGTATTAAAGGATTTACTAATCCTTACTTTGCTTGGCTTAATACCTGCCAACTGAAGGAAGAGAGCAGAGATGTGAGTACACAAAACGCTGCCTCCAGGAATTGAGGTCTGACCCCAGCACAGATGGCTCTTACAGGCTGCTAAAGCAAATGCCCATGTTGTTGAAAGAGAGCCCAGGCACATCTAAACAACATGACTCTCATTTCTCTCAATTCTTCATTTCCATTCTCTCCTGCAGCTACAGTTGGTGCTGGACCCCAACCATATCAAGTGTACTAAATATGATCTCTAGAGGAAAAACCAAGCTTGCTCTAGTGCCATGAGCATTGTTTGGATATTTCAATTTCAGTAAGAATTTTTTGAATGTTTCAGGGGGATGGAAACAGACTCTTCATTCATGAAACACTCAGGAAGTGCTATGAGGTACTAAGCACCATTGGGATACAGGGATGGGTGAGTTTTCATTCCTTCTTCCTGGGAGCTCAGACTGCAGCAAGAAGGAGAAGACTGCCATCCAAGGCCATGTGGGGTAAATACCATATGAGGAATATCAAATGCATGGACAAAAGACTGTGAAACCATTTGCTACTCCTCCTATTGAGAGGCAGAGTCCAAATCCCCTCCTCTCCAATCTGGCCTATCCTTAGTGACTTGATTGACCCACAGACTGCAGCAGAAGTGATGTTGCATGACATCCAAGGCTATGGAAGAAGAAGCCTTGAAGCTTCCACCTGGGTTTCTTTGAATGTTTGTTTTGGAGAGATGCCTTCTGGGAACCTAGGTGCCTTGTAGTGAGAAGCCCACACCACATGGAGAGGCCACTGTAGGCACTGTGGTTGACAGCCCAGCCATATGAGTGAGGCATTTTGGATGTCCAGCCCCTAAAGCCTCTAAAAGTCTGCTGTCCCTGCAGCAGGCTTTGCTGGAGAAGGTGGCATTTGGGCTGGGAGGGAGGGTCATAAACACAAAAGCATCCAGTGAGTCTAGGGAATGTAAATGGATTCGTTTGGCTGTTTCAGAGGAGCAGTGAGAAATATGTCTGGAGAAGTAGAACAGGGACAGACTCAGCGTGGCTTTGAATTCCAGGCTATGGAGCCTGAACTGTGTTTAATGGGTGCAGTGGATTGAATTGTGTCCCCCCAAAGTTTAATGTGTTGGAGGCTTGGTCCCCAATGTGATGGGGTTAAGCTGGTGGGAAATCCTATGATAGCAGTTAAAAGACGGGGCTTTGAAGAGGTGATTAGATTGTGAGGACCCTGCCCTAGTGAATTGTTAATGGTGGCCCTGGGCATGGGCTGGGGGCTTAAAAGAAGAGTACATGAGAAACTCTCTCTCTCTGGTCTGCCATTCTGCCATGTGAGACCCCTGTGTCACTGTCGCCACCAATAAGGCCTTCACCAGATGTGTTCCCTGGATTTTTGACTTCCCAGCCTCTGAAACTGTAAGCAATAAATCTCATTTTCTTGCAAATTACCTAGTTCCTGGTATTTTGTTAAAAGCAACAGAAACATACTAATACAATAGGCAATATCTGTGAAAATCCACTTAGGACCCCAGGTCTGTGAAACAGTGTTTTGAAATCACTAGGCTAGGCTGGCCTGGCCTCCAGGTGTGAGAACCAGCACTGACTGTACAGAGGCACATAGAGGGAAATAAAGGTGTGTCACAGAGAAAGAGAACATATTTACAGCACTCCACTGATTTCTTCCGTGAGTGGTGCATATGGAGAGGCCTTTACTGGTAGAGTTGTGTCATGGGGAGAAGCAGGGATGATTAGAAAAGTGAGAATAAGTTAAACTGCACAGAATATACAACCAAGGGGGGTGTAGTGGATTGAATTATGTCCCCCCCAACTCCCTGATGCTTGAATTATGTCCCCTAAGTTTTATGTATTAGAAACTTAGCTCCCACTGTGACTGTTAAGAGGGTGGGAAATCCTATTATGGTAATTGAAAGGTGGAGCCTTGAAGAGGTGATTGGATTGCAGGACCATGCAGTAGTGAATGGATTAAGATGGTGGTCAGGGGTGTGGCTCTGAGGGCTTTCAAAGAAGAGGAGAGTCTTTCTCTCTCTCTGCTTTCTCTGCTTCCACCATCTTGCAATGTGAGACCCTTGGGTCACTGTTGCCACCACCAGATGGACTTTGGACTTCCAGCCTCAGAAACTGTAAGCAATAAATGTCATTTTTCTTTATACATCACCCAGTCTCAGGTATTCTGTTATAGCAACACAAGATGGACTAATACAGAAAATTGGTACCAGAAGTGGGGTGTTGCTTATAAAATACTTGAAAATGTGGAAGTGTCTTTGGAACTGGCTGTTAGGCAAAGGTTGGAGGAGTTTGGAGTATTCAGAAGAAGAGAAAGAGATGATGGAAAGTTTGGAATGTCTTAGAGACTGGTTATGTGGTGGTGAGCTGATAGAAATATGGACTGTAAAGACCATTCTAAGGAGGTCTCAGATAGAAATAAGAAGGAATTTATTGCAAACTGTGGCAAAGATCACCTTTGCTGTGAACTGACAAGGAATTTGGCTGCATTTGGTCCATGCCCTAGGACTTTGTGGAAGTTGGAATTTAGGAGTTGTGAACCAGAGTACTTGGCAGAAGAAATTTCTAAGCAACAAAACATTAAGGAAGCTGCATGGCTACTTGTAACAGCCTATGCTGAGTTATGAAGGCAAAGGCATGACATAAAGCCAGAATTTAAAAGGGAAGCAGATAGTAAGGATTTGGAAAATTTGCAGCCTGGCCTTGTGGTAGAGAAGCAGAGAGCATTTTCAGAAGAAAAATTCAGTGGTACTAAGATTAGTACAAAGGAAAGGGATTATCAAGAGAATGAGAAAAAGGCCCTGAAGGCATTGCAGAAGACTCTGGGGCCAACCCTTCCATTATAGGCCTAAAGACCTAAGGAGACAAAATGGCCTTGGGGAACAGGCCCAAGGCACCCTCCATGGGCTTGCTGCCCAAGGCCACCTCAAGAAGCTGCTTCCAGCACCAGCACTCCAGCTGCTTTGGGTGTTCCATGGCTAAATTGGTCCCAGGGGTGGCTGGAGCAGCAGGTTTGTGAGACCCCTGGGTCACTGTTGCTACCACCAGATGGACTTTGGACATCCCAGCCTCAGAAACTGTAAGCAATAAATGTCATTTTTCTTTACAAATTACCCAGTCTCAGGTATTCTGTTATAGCAACACAAAATGGACTAATACAGGGGGGTAGGAGATGGTAGGTGGAGAGACTGAGCCAGTGAGGTCATGGCTGGGGTGGGGCGGTCCTGAGAAGAAGAGGCCACTGGCAGCAGGGAGTCACTCAGGAGCAACGCTTAGTAAGTTCTGCTCTGAAAGGGGTGATGTGAATTCTCTGTCTCTCCAGAAGTTTTCAGCAAAGCCGACGTTGCTTAGCTTTGTGACAGTGAATTTGCTTTTGGGAGCTAACGGAATGCTGCAACAAAGAGGCTGAGCGGTGAAAACGTCCCATTCCTGAGAGATTAGATAAAATTCAATTGTGCATCTGAGAGAAAGTAGGGAGACTGGAATAAAACAAGAAATTCCCACCATCATGGTGAAAGCAGGGAAGGAATACAGGAAAGAGATGCCTCTAAATCAAAGCCAGGGGTGGGAGAAGTGGGGGTTGTCGTCTAAAAAGTTCTGGAAACAAAAGGATACAGAAACCAGTTTGGTTAAGGTCCATGCTGTTAGAGGCTCGAGCTACAGCACAGAAAACAATAACAGTGGAGAGAAAGGAAGCCGGGTTACTGCAGAGAAAGAGTAAAGAAATAGCACAGAGCCATGACTCTTAAAGAAAGACAGCTAAGAAGGAAAGCAAGCAAGCTAGTTAGGTGGGGAAGCCCAGAAAACATGAACGGTGCAAAGCAGCTTGCTTCTCTTCCTCTACAGTGGGCTCCGTGCGCATGGGCACAGTGGATTGGGCCACTCTTGAGCCATGTGCAGGACCCAAACTCCTGCAGGATTTTACCCATTAACTAGACTCATGACTTATCTGAGGCAAGAAGTAACTCCACTGAGCATGAAGGAAGCCAAAGAGATGAATTTCACCACCACCACCAACATACTTACCTGTTTAAAATACTTTAATGAGTACTGATACATCGGATCTATTTCTGAAAGGCTTGCAATGACAAAGTACATAACGGATCCTCGAGTGGCTACTGGACGGTACTTCTCACGAGCAACATTGATCATCTGCTCTGTGGACTCTGCTTCTTTCAGCCTGATTTTAATGGCACCAGAAGTGATCTGAATAAACGTACAACAACAAGTTGTTAGGGATGTGTATGCAGTTAGTTCTAGGAAAAAAATAAGAATGAAATGATTTAGTGGTTTAATTAGGGGTCAGGTGGATTGACGGAATCCCAGGACTCAGTGACCTTCTTCTGACTGAGTGACCTCGTTTCCTTCCAGAGTTAGTAGTTGGCAGAGGGAACTAGGCAATACAAGTAGCTCTGAAGAAACTGGAGCAGTACTTCTCCGAGACTCCTATCTGAGCTACCTCTGAAAGAGAAACACTAACACAGTACTCCTAATTTTCCCTAATCTCCTCGTGAGCAGTCCAGGGTACACATAATGGAAGAAGGCATGAAAGGAGAAGGGAGACCCAGGAAAATGCCCAAAAGAAGGGGGTAGAGAGAGGCTGGAAGGAAGTGGTACCACATCCTACCCCGGAGTAACAGGGATGACTAATATTCTTATTCTTTACCTAGCATCTCCAGGTGTAGACATGGAAGCCTGGAGATGGAAGCTACTCTTTGTGAAGGGTTATAATCCCAAGTGAGTTGGAGAAGTTTTCAAGGTATTTTGATGCTCTTTGGTTTTCTGTATTTTGGGTTTGTGGGTCTGGGGAGTCTTTTGGCCAATGGGTTTTCCACCACCCACTTCTCTGTGTCTCTCGGTCTCTCTGTCTCTCTGTCTCTCTACTTCCATTGCTGTCTGTCCCTGCCTCTTCCTCCTTCTCTCACTGCTTTTTGCCTGTGGATATCCCTAGGTTGGGAGATCCTTTGTCTCTAGGAAGCCTAAGTGTCTAGGTCAGGGACCATGAAAAATCACTATGGAGACTGGTTGCTCAGTATTTGCTGAATCAAAGGGAGCTAAAGGGGACTATCAAGTTTCTGTTTAGACCAGTGTTTCCCAATAGAAATATAATGTGAGGCACATATGTAAGGCTAAATTTTCTAAATTTATTAAAGATCAAAAGAAGCAACGGAAATTAATTTTAACATGTTGTGTTAAACCCGATATAAGCAAAATATTATGTCAACATATAATCAATATAAAAATTATTGAGATATATCACATTTTTTTGAGTTACATCTTTGAAATCTGATGGGTATTTACACTAATACCACATCTTAATTCAGACTCACCATTCTAAGTGCTCATCAGCTACATATAGCTGGTGGCTGTAATGATCCCTTAGGAACATGAGAAGTGAATAAAGAGTAGGGTTGAATGGGAAACCCCAATCTCAGTACTGGACTCAACTAAAGTTTCCCACATGAGTAGAAAAAGAAAGTTGATATGGGAACAGTTGGGTCATGGAGACTCACTAGAAAACAATTCCTTATTACTTGGGGAGCACGAGGCCCTGATAATACAGAGCTAAACAGATAGGAAAGTGGACCATATTCTTCTTTTTGTAAGAGACTATTAGAACACTATACACCTCAGTTGAGTTTGGTGACTACTTATAGACATTATGCCCTAGAGACTTGAGGCTTTGGCGGTGGTTAGGGGATATGAGACACATTTTTAAATAAGGATTCTGGGAGTCAAGGGGAGTATAAACTACAGGCAGGAAGTGTCAGGAAATGCAGCCAAGGATCAGTCTGATCTCTGTAAAAAGGACATCTCCAAGGCAGCTCCTTGCAAACAAACAAGCTTACAGTTAAAGGTGGCAGCCAGCCCACATGCAGCTACCTTTGCTCCCTACTGCAATCATGAAAAAATTATAGCAAAGGGGTTTAAAAAGCAGTAAAAGCCCACAAAGATGGGAAGAATGGAAGAGGAGATATAAAAAAAAATTTGGGGAGCTGGAAAGCAGACAGAGGAGTGGTAATGACTTAGCAGACCCAGGTAGATGGATTCCTAAGCTGCAAAAGGAGAAAGCCAAGAACTCACTCAGTGTATAGGGTAGAATCCTCCTTAAAGGCTTAATTATTGGTAGCAACAAGCACTGCTGGAAGTGGGAAGGGTCTAAAATCAGAATTGGTTGTAAGACTCCCAGGCCATCTCCCTTACACCACCCTGGCCAGGGGATTGTCCCTTCCCTACCCTGGCAGAAAAATAGAGTTTCCTCCCTGGTGAAAATAAGAGAGTGCTTTTCAATGGAAGAAAGCCAGGCATAGTTGAGGGTCAGGTACCACCCTGAAAACAGAGCAGTGAGGTGATTATATGTACACTGATGATGGGACCCTAGCCTGCCTCTTCAGCCCCCAAAATTCTTGCAACCAGATCTTCACCCTCAGGCAATGTAAACGTCAAATGTGTGTGTGTGTGTGTGTGTGTGTGTGTGTGTGTGTGTAGAGGTACAGATGACAATTAAGAAGTAAAATGAGAGTAGTTGCTTCTCTGAAGGGAGCCATGGGTGTGTGCGTGGGGGGAAGGCAGGGAATGCTGTTTTTCATAACAAGCCTTGTAGAAATATTTCATTCTTTAAACATCTGGCATGTAAAACTTTGATTAAAAAAAAATGGGTTAACAATCAACTGCCAGAAATTGAAAACCCAAGAAAGAATGAATGAAAGGAGGATAAAGACTGATGAACAAACAAGCAAAAAGAGAGAAGGAGGAAATGGGAGACTGGAATTATTTGTTTATTATCGTTTCAATACTGAGAACTCAAGAGACTGTAGGACATAAAGCAGTAAACCGTGATGTCGACAAAAGGCCAAGAACGTAACCTTATGTGCTCCTTGTCTAGTAAAGTCAAAGGGACTTTTTAGTAAGTTATTTTCTGTTTTTCATGAACCGATGTAAATCATTTTATAGGCTGTATTTCTACTATAAACTTCTTAAATGACAGTTTGAATCTGAGAAATCATTTACTGAAGGATTACACATTAATTGTAAAACTTCATCTTACTACCAGTGGGTTTTTATTGAGTACCGATTGCTTGCAACCACCATTCCCTTGGAGAAGGAATATCAAGATGAACTATTCACAGATTCCCACTGCACAGAATTTAGCAACCTAACAGAAGAGATAAAACATGCAATTGGATAACTGTGACATAAGGTAAACATTGACAAGTGCTGTCATAGAGATTCAGATAAGGTGCTAAAGAAGTTCCAAGCAGGAAGAGATTAATTCCAGCTGGGTATACCAGGGAGGCTTCCTGGAGGAGGTGACATTAATGTGAATTTATAAGTGTGTTCTTTCCTTCCAACTTATATCTTCTCCCAGTTCTTTACATTATATGCTTTATTTAAAAACTGCAGACAAGAGGAGCAGTTGTCTATAGTTTCCCTATGCTTTTTTGGCTGGTGAGGAGGCCTGACAGCCAGTCACACCCTTATGATGCCCTTGGCAGCCCAGGGTGGCCCCACTCTTGCTTTAAAAGCCCTTGCAGGACCTTCAAAGGCTGAAGGTAACTTCTGAAGTAATCCACTTCCTATAAATACTGAAAATATTTTACTTGCCTTTGAATCCTGAAGTGTGTCAATGAGTTCTTCGTTGTCCAGAATATTTCCTTCAGATGTAAAGAGCATTCTCAGGATTTTCTCTTCAATGGTTTTCAGCTGGTTTTTGTCAGTGTTGATCCTCACAATGAGCTTGATTCTTTGTTCTTCCAACTCAGGTTTTTCAAGTCGCACCACGTCACTAGAACCCAAATTGGGATACCTAATTATGTCTTTGTCAGTGCCCTGAAGTTGCTTCTATTTTTCTTTCCTGTTTGTAATTATTCTTATTCTGAATACTATTTAGCTGAGTATCAGTGCTACTAGCCAAATCTGAATGCACAACATCCCTCTTTTGCTGGGTTTACGCAGTGGCTTTTTCACTAAACTGCATGTCAGTTCTGAGTTTTTATCTTGTATTTCAGAGACCAGCACCTGACTGCAGTTCCCATACCTTCTGGTTAATGCTTGATTTCACTAATTGTAGTGGGAAGTTAGAAAAGGACAAGAGAGGGAAGAGGAAATCTGGTTATTTGCAAGTGGGAAAACCGGATGTAGTTATGCACATTGCAAAAACAGACATGGGAGACAAAGACAGACAGGGAGCTCCACCCTCACGCTGGGTGCCATTTGGTTGGACCAATGAGCTCCCACCAGCTAGGGTGCCAATCAACAGAGACTTCACTCAGGGCTCAACCAAAGACCAAGTGACATGAATCCAGCTAAGAGGACTTAAACCCTCGGGATTGTACCTGTTGGTGCTCTTGAGCCATTTTCTCTCGCTCAAACCCACTCCATCTTCTCTGGAGTAGATTACCTCTTTGCTAAATAAAATGCTCTTGGCTCTTGAGCCATTCTCTCTCACTCCAGCCTGCTGCATCCTCTCTGGAGTGTAGTCTCTCTTTGCTAAATAAAACTGTTCTTTGTGTTTCACCTGGGCTTCTTGAGCCACCCTCTTGCTTGAGCCTGCTCCATCCTCTCTGGAGTGTATTCTTGCTTTGCTAACTCACTTTGCTAAATAAAACTGTCCTTTGCTTTTCACCTCTGGCATTCTTGTCCAATTCTTTGTTCGAGACACCAGAAACCCAGATTGAGTTAGTGGAACCTGCATTTTCCTCAGTTTCCCTTAACATCTTGGTTCTGTGACCAGGAACCTTCAGTTTCCCTTAACATTTTCATTCAGTTTCTGTCTCTATTGCTTGCTTATACCAAGCTGAAAATGGTGCCTGGAATATTCTTTCCGTACCACCATGGGAGATTCCAAAATCCCACCCCTTCATGAAATGATACTAAATTGCATCTAAAGAAGGGGCCTTGCCTCCAGGTCCACACTTGTCTGAACATGTGGACTTATGTCTCCCTTCACTTGCTCTTTCATAGTTTGCTCCCAGCCCTCTGTGTGCAGGAGCTCATCTTCATTAAGCATTGCTTAGTGCCAGGCACCCCGCTAAGAGTTTTACATGGATTACCTCTTTTCACCCTTTGAATGCTCCCAGGAGGTGGGCATTGTGATTTCCATCTTCAACTGTGAGAGGCAGAGCTGCGCTTGCACCCACCTCTGGGCTGGCTCCAGAACAGCCACTACTGCTAGTATGCGATGTACTGCCTCATATAACAACATGGTGTTTATTTTATGTACATGCTGAATACACACACCTTAAAAATTACCGTATGAAGACTGTGAGAAATCATAACTTCAAATTCAATTGTTTAAAAGAAGTTTTTCAGAAGAAGGGTTTAAAGAATTTTTAAGATAAAGATAAGCTTAGGAAACAGCTTGAGAGAAGCATAAATCAAATTAGACAAGTTAGGAATTAAAAAGGATTGCTAAGAAAGTTTTTGGGGATGACTTGAAATTTCTGGAAGTGGAAGAGGACATAGGAGGGGGTGGGCTGTCTGGGTGGCTTCATGGAATTCATCGAAGCTGAAAAAGGGCCTTGTCCTACTCCAGAAGGATGGAAGAATTGTTGGCAGTCTCCAGGAGGCAGGGAGGTGAATGGCGGTGTTCGAAATGGTGAGGATCCTAGAGAAAACTGCAATGAGCACTTGAGTTCAATGAATATCTACTGCCTGCCCAGGAGATCAGCAGAGCTGGGGACAAGTGAAGCAGGTGCCAGCTTGTCAGGACACAGGCAGACTGAACTTCATTCTCACGCGGGCTGCTGGCTGTCAACCTCCTGTTCAGTGCCAGCGATTGGGGAGAAAGGGCAGGGAGATTTTCACCCCGTGATGAGTCTGTGTTTCCCTGTTCTCATCAGGGTACTACTCCTTGTCCTGCAGCCTAACGTGCTAAGCTTGACTAATCATAGGAATAAACTGGTGTGCAAAGTGTTCAGCCATGTCCTTAGAACATGACCATAAAATGTGGTGAAATACTCTTTAATTGGAAAGAAGTTAACCTAGCAGAAGTTAAGCAAGTTAGCAGTTGGCAGAATAATTCCTAAAAGAAACATGGAAAATCAGACTCAAGCTCATTAGTGATAGCAGGGGTAAGTCAGGATGATCTTGACTTGAACATAAGGGATTTTTTTTTGAACATGGGTCTAAATTACATTTTCCTTTAGAGTTAATGAATATACACAAACATATATATTCATGTATACATATAAATACATATATATGTGTTGATTAAATATATATTAAGTATATAATTAGTTTTTAATCAATGTCAATGTTATTATTTTAGTAAAAAATTTAAAATTTTGCCTCCTGAACTTTTTGGTTAATTCTGATGATTAATATTAATAATTCATAGCTCCATTTTGGGGAAATGAGGATCTAGTCACATACAGAGTACACTGAAGGCGGGTATTTATTTTTTTGAAGGGGACAACTGTAGGCACAATTAAGTACACTAAGAAAAAAACATCTAGAGACCAGTGAAATGGAAAAAAATGTATTCGGAGTAGCTGTTTTTTCACAGTATGGAGGAATGAGTTTCTAGGAGCAACAGAACAACTGACTTCATGCACTTGCCCAAGATTGGAAATGCTAGTGAAGGGAAGAGGCTGGCAGCCCAGCCCAAAGGCTGGGAATTAAGGGTATATCCCTGATCTCCTTGAGAAGCGTGTGGGCAAGATCGGTGGCTGTGAGCAGCTATGGAAATGGTAAAGAACTTGGCCACTTACCCCTATCTTTTTGGTTGAGGATTCACGTATGATACTTTTACACATTAAAAGTTTTTCTTTGTCAATATTTCTAAACAAAGTATTAGGAAACCGCTGGCCTCCTCTCTGCACCCCCCCCCCTTTATTTTTTTTTACCTTAATAACTGATCCTCTAGACCTGATTTGGTTACAGTGAAATTGATGATAGTAACTTTAATGCACACCTGGAAGAGAAGCACAGAGTACATAAAAATGCTTGCTTAAGTGCAGATTAGTAGCATAAGTGCTTCCTTTATTAGAACATGGCTCATTATTACCCAGGTGGCTGTGCGTCTCAGGTCTAATTGCACGCACACCCAGCCCCACACACACTCCCAGGGTAATGTGGCTTACAAAATCCTAATATGATTTTTCCTGCCAGTATGAGCAACAGTCTTGTTTCTCAAACCCCACAGTTATAGAATCCTACATGATATTTTAAGGAAAGATGAGCCAGCGAAGGGTTAGAAGCAGAGTTTTAGTGGCCTTGTTAAAAAGAAGTTCTATTGATAACAGAGCTTTACATATTTTGTCTCATCATAACATTTTAATAAAAGTTTTTGCTATAATATCATAATAATCTGACTTTTTGAGTAAGTAAATAGCAAAAATCAATAAATATAATAAGACTGTTTGAATGCTATACACTTTACACGTTACAAATTCTTGAAATAGGCCTTATTGCCACTTTCAAGTTGATTGACTTAAAGATCCTGGAGGTGGAATAATTTACCAAGGTCACAGAACTAGGGTTGGGTCTTGTGTGCAACACTCCCTCTCAAAAGTTAAATAAGCGAGAAATTGTACATTGCAAGTTGGCACACTGGTCACTTTTCTAAATTCTGAAATGGGACTTGGGACATGAGTCCTGGCAGAGGCTGTGTAATTAAGCTCCTTGAGGCTGACAAGAAAAACCCAGCAAGTCATACCTCAGGCAGATAGTGGGGATTTGGCATTTTGGTCGTCATATAGAACCTAAAGTTTTTGTCGTAGTCAATGTCTGAGTCTCCAAGGCGAATGAGTAGTCGTCCACCTCTGATGAAGATTTGTTTCAAAAGAATGGGTTCTAGAGAAGGATCCAAGGTTTCTTTGAGCTTAAAAACAGAAAGAAAATAAAAACAATACAAAAAACAAGCAATTAAAATGGATGGCGACAACTTCTCAAAATTTCTTAGTCTTAAAATTTGCTTTGAATGAGCAGTTTTTCAGTGATATTATAGATATTAATTAATGTCCTCACACTGCCTCTCATAGTGCATATTTTCCAGTGATTATTTTATCAATAGTCTAAGGAAATAAGAGCATATGAAGGCAACAGAAGGACGTCTATCTAGACTAATCTTATGCGCTATTCATCCCCAGGAGAAATAAGCTAAGAAAAGAGAGGCTGGGTGTATGAAGTCACTGCAGGGTGGCCTTCCAACGGGCCCCTGACAAATGAAGGCCTCTTCATTTTCACAATTGTTCTAAGTCAGGGGTTGGCAAACAACAGCCTGCAGGCCAAATCTGGCCCCCCACTGCCTGTTTTTCATATAACTCTTGAGCTAAGAATGGTTTTGCCTTTTTAAAGCATTGTAAAAACGAATAAACAAAAAATCCCCCAAACAAGACAAAACAAAAAAGAATATGCACAGAAACAGTATGAGGCCTGCAGAAACTAAAATATTTACTATCTGGCTCTTTACAGAAAAAGCTTGTTGATCCCTATTCTACATGACAGTTGTTTTTTTCCCTCAAAGCAAATGTGATTGTTGAACTTGGGCATGCAGACATTGCCAACAAATCCCAGTGGGAACATGCTTTACGTCAGGATGTATGTAATAGGGTCTCATGTCCAAGGGACTTTCAAAATTTAACTGTAATCCATAGTAACAAATTTATTTCATGTTGTGATGTGGGGCCCACACATATAAATTCTTAAAATAAAAGCTTATGAGATAAAATTTACCTTTATCCTTGATACAATGTTGTGTTTTTAAATTCTATCCTTTATTATTAAAAAATGCTGATTGAGATAGACTAAATTGATTTCACACCCACAAATGGAGAGAGATGAAATTTGAAAATACCACCTTAGCAAATGCAGAAAGCAGCTAGGTGTATCATGCTAATGACCCTAAGTCCCAGGGAGCAGGGAAGGCCCAGTCAGAGTGTCTTGTTCCTGTCCTGTTCCTTGTCAGGGCCCATCCCCACTCCCAAGAGCACTTTGCTACAGTTAAAAGGCTCTTCTATCCAGGGGCAGAACATCACGGCAAGTCTTTCATCCACTGCCATGAAAGAGAAAAGTCCCGCAGGACCTCTTGAGTCCTGAAGTACCGCTGGGTTCAAGTATCCAATCTGGGGCTAATATAACGATGCCAAAAATTTCTGGAGACTTCACCCTCTCCTGTGACTTCAGGGTTTGAGGGAGAGACCAGGATCCATTCCAGAACCTTCCGTGTGTTAGCTAATGCTAAGACATTAATTATTGTTCCTGGTCACCATGCAAGTGCTACAGCTCAGCTGACCCAGGCCAAGGGTCTTTTCTGAGCTTCTGGTCTTTCTGCTGAAGCAGAGACACTTCTAGGCATGGTCATACTGAGACTCAGCTCATAGCCTGTGCTTTTGCTCTCTCATTCTTCTCTTATAAAAATAGAATGGTAAATTAAGGAAATAAACCACGATCATTAATCTATCTCTTTCGTGCCCACAGTTTTTGCACATGCTGTTCCCTTGGCCTGGGAAGCCCTTCACACGGCTGAGCTCATCACACAGGTCGCAGCTTACATATTACCCCTCCAGCCATGCATCTAAGTTAGGTTCCTATCCCTCCCCTTACTGGCTTTCTCAGCACCTGCTTGTTCCTTCAATGCCATTATCACAAGTTCTCTTCTTCTCCCCTCTCTCATTTCCCACTTCCTCTCTCATTCTCTGTTTACTGTGTCTGTCCCCAACTAGATTGTAAGCTGTTGAGGACAGGCACCACATCTATATTGTTGGCCATTGGTTCTCAAATAATGTTTGTTGATTAAGTGAACAATTTCAAACACATCCATTTTCGGTGTGGTATCTGAGGTAATGGAGCAGCTAGACACAACAAACAACCCCTTTCCCTCTTTTTTAAACAAAAGTTTATTCTTCTCAGTCATTACTGAACCTAATTCTGACCTTATGCCCAGGCAGAGAATATTTTTTATACCCACTGGAATGTTTTACTGACTTCACATCATTAGCATGTGCAGACCGTCCCTGACAGCAGTACTGCTTTGAATTTTCAGGGCGGCTAACCATCAAGGGCCACAATAAGGCCTGAGCATCAGCAGTGTCAGAAAACAGAGCCCATCCCTCTTAACACCCAAACAATTCTAAACATGAAAGAATTGGCTTAATCAGCAGATTTCACCCCATATAAGAATTTATTGTTTTTTTTTATTTTTTTGTCTTTTTCATGACCGGTAAGGGGATCGCAACCCTTGGTGTGGTGTCGCCCACACCACGCTCAGCCAGTGAGCACACCGGCCATTCCTATATAGGATCTGAACCCGTGGTGGGAGCGCCGCTGTGCTCCCAGCGCCACACTCTCCCAAGTGCGCCACGGGCTCGGCCCTAAGAATATATTGTTTAAGGAGCAACGCAACTGGTTTGACCAATTTGAAAATGGAGTTGACAGGTGTTATTAGCATGATGCAGATACGAACTGTATAGGACTCTAGATATGATCTGAAAGTTGGGAACCAACGTGAAAAAAGAAAGTGAAAAGCAAACCTCTTCCAGTAAGACAGGTAGACCAAGCCGGATGGAGTTTTCAAGTGTTCGTAGGAAATTACTATCTGTAAGCTTAATGACCTTTAAACTGCTTCTGCTTTCCTTGTTCCTTATCCAACGGTTTGCCTGTATAAGAAAAGACAAAGCAGGGCATTTGCTTTAGAGTATAATAAATAGCTAGAAAGTGAAAGCTTTACAATAAAGTTTAGAAATTTTGTTCAATCTAGAATCAGATTTGAAATGTAAAAAAATACAAAATAAAATAAAAATCTCCGTTCCCCCTCAGGAAAGACACCTTTTAAGCCCGATGTTTGGGACTCTTTCCTTTCTTCAAATTTGGAACAAATGAAGAAAAGAGGCATCTAGGAAAAAAAAGCCCATACTTGTGGTATACAAGTTTGTCTCACTTGCTTTCACAATGGCTCCCTTTTCCAAACCCTGTTTATTAGTGCAGTCTGATCTGTGGACTTACGGCATCAGCTAATGGGATTCTGTAAATTCCAGGCAGGATTGCCCTAAATTCCATTGCACCCTGACTTCATTCTGACTCCTCAGACTTTAGGTGTTAACAGCACCATGCTTCTCCCAAGTGATCTAACTGGCCAGCTTATCTCAGACCTTTTAGGACCAAGGACTATATAAGAATGAATTTCTGTGAATTTCTGCCCCCATAGAAAACAGAAAACTAATGGTCAACCCCCTAAACAAAACCAATCAAAATAAAGGAAGGAGAGCACTTAAACTCTTCCTTTCTTACTTTCCACATCCACAAAATCAGGGACTTGGACTAGAAGATTTCTAAATTCTCTTCTAGGTCTCAATCTTCATAATTTTTTTTTTTTTTTTTTGTCTTTTTTCGTGTCCGGCAACGGATCACAACCCTCAGTGTCGCACCCGTACCAGACCGGGATGGCAACGGGATCGCAACCCTCGGTGTTGCACCCGCACCTCGCTCAGCCAGTGAGCGGCTGGTCTGTATGTGGGATCCGAACCCTCGGCGGGAGCGCCACTGCGCTCCCACTGCACCGGGCCGGCCCTAAATCTTCATAATCTTACAAGTTTGTTAAAAGTCCACTTTTACAAATTTTAATAGCTCAATATTAAGCAGAACTAATAGGCCATTCTTTATTTCAAGCATTTGTTACACACCTGATCTTGAGGATCAATCATCAAAGGCCACCGTCTACCTTGAGTCACCAAAATGCCATTTTCTGTTGATGTCAAGTCACGGGGCAGCCCATCAGTGTTCCATTGCCGTACTTCATAGGGATCTCCAAGAATATTAATTAGACTGAAGGAAGGATCGATTGGGATCTCCAGAGACTGACAGTACTGGATCCAACACTCTACAAGCTGTAGAAGGAGGAAAGCTTACTTGTATAGAGTCAGAAACGGTCAGTAAACTAGGGGACACCCAAAGTGTGGTGGGTTGGAGTAAACGAGTGGCACGAAGAGCTAAGCCCCAGCACTCTCCACAGGCATCCTAGCATCAGCACAGGACACAAAAAGTGGACTAGGAATTGGGAGACCTGGGTGCTAGAGCCATACCATTAACTAGCTATGACTTTGGGCATGTCATTCACCCTAGTAATTGGTAGATGGGAGAAAGAGATGTTAGTGTCTTACCTCCTTCAATGAGTGGTATAGTCACAAACAACAGAGAACTATTTGCTCCCCAAAGGCACTATTGGTCCCAGTGAGAAACATGGCACCAGATGACCCCTGAGCTCCTGTAGAGTCTATATGAGTCCTATATCAGGTTTTATAATTCAAGGATGAGGGTGGAACATTTTTAGAAAGACATTTTGTAAAAATGTCCATAAAATCCTTCCAAATTAGTTTCCTGCAAAATGCATGTAGATGAAACTTTTGTTCTCTGATAAATGAGAGGTTTTATTTCTTTTTAAAAATATTTATTTTTAATTGATGGATAACACTGATTGCTTTTTTCACATTTGAAATGTTATTTTGAGGTATATATACGCTGTAGAGTGGTTAAATCTATCTAATGAACAAATGCATTATCTCACATGGTTATTATTGTGGTGGCAGCACATCACACCCACTCTCTTTACGTTTTTCAAGACTACAACATATCATCATTAGGTACAGTTGCTTTCCTGTATAATAGTTTTCTTGAAATTCATTCCCTCTAACTGTAATTATGTATTCTTTGACCAAGATCTCCTCACCCGCCTCCCCTCTAACCACCCAGAGGTTTTATTTCTTATAAAGATAAAAGCCTGAGGAACCACAGACTCATCACGTACTGCTCCTTTCCATTGTCCAGCCCTCAATCTGTCCAGTCTCACCAATTCAGAACATTTCCTCCTGGCTGACTTTACATGCCACCTCTGGTCATGAGGGCAGGGGACTCACGGTCCCTCTTCCTTCCCTCAGGTTCTGGTGCTGTGTTAGTAGTAAGTGACGTATAGCTTTCTAAGGCAGAAGGAAAGGGAAGAATGTGTGAAGGGAAGCCTAGGGGTAGATTATCACTGGCCGATGGGTGAGGTGGAGGGCTGTGGAATGTACAAATAAATTTCCACCACGGAGAACCTCTATGTGGAGCACCCCCATGTGAGCCAGAACGATGAACCCCCCTTGCAGTTTCAGCTGCCTCTGACCACTCCTTAGGAAAGCAGGTTCACTCACCGATTGCCTGTACTGGGCCGTGAAAGCCCCATAATAGGCCACACAAGCCGCTGCTATGAACACGTTCCCGATGATGCTGGCTATCTCTTCCTCAAATTTCTCTATGCTTTCTTCCCATCGCACCTGCTCGTCTTCTAGCGCGGCAGTCAGCTTCCCAGCACGCACTAGGCGTGCTTTCGTCAGGGCCATAGTCTTCGCTAGAAAATTTTAAGAAGATCAGGTATGTTATTAAGTATTTTCCTAAAATATTAAAAATTTATTCATCTGCTTCTGTTATAGCAGAATATGCATTATTTGGCTAATGATGGCAATATGTCTCTGAGAAACCTTGCAGCAATTCAGCATTATTTCTCATTTTAGGACCAAGTCTAAGTTTCCCTCTTGCATGCCAAGAGCTCTTTTTTGATATGCTCTCCGTGCCTGGGTAGTATTTATTTTCTGGATCAAGACCATATGCTGTTTTGTGTTATAATGTAACATGCTCCAACAAACCTTTTTCAGATATGGAACGTTGAATATACAGAGTATATGTGGTTTTTCTCATTTAATACCAGAAGATTAATGGAAATATGTCCTACAGGTTCCATAAAAGCTGAGATATGACTGCTTGAAAATTCTACTTTTGAAAATCAGGCATTTCCTGACCACTGTAAATTTTATGAGTTACTTACCCAGACTTTCTTTTTCATTCACACCTTTGTCATATTCATCTTGTAAGGCTCGTATTTGATCTTCTACTTGTTTTAATAATGCTTGCTTTTCTCTCAGGGTAGCCATAGTAATATCAAGTTCGGCCTAATAAAATCAAGTTCATACTTAAGAATAGGCCCCCAAAGAAGGTTGAATTTACCCATTTATAATAAAGATTTTAAAAAATGACTTACACTCCTTTTCGATGTCCAAAAAGATTTTGAGATAATATACCAAGTTAAAATAAATCTCAGATAGAGTAAAATATAAGAGCAGAAGCAAACAAAATAAAACAAAACCAAAAATAAAGCCCAACAAGATCAATCATAAGAGGAATAGAGAAACAGGCGAACCAAGTGTTTGGGTTGAATTAGTTACTACAACTGATTATTTATTAATTTTAAATGAAACAAATTAAATATTCATGCAATAGTGAAAACGAGTCTTTCCTAACAGTTCTGTATACCAAAGGTCTTCAAACTATGGCCTGCATGACAAATCTAGCCTGCTGCTTGCTTTTGTACAGTCTGCTAGCTAAGAACTATTTTTATATTTTTAAGTGGTTGGAAAAAAATTAAAAGGAAAATAATTTTTTGCAACAGGTGATACATGTATAAAATTTGAATTCCAGTGTCCTTAAATAAAATTTTACTGAAACATAGCCATGCTTATTTGTTTATATATTGTCAGCGGTTGCTTTTGTACTGCAATGCAAAGTTGAGTACTTGCAACAGAGACCATATAGCCCACAATACTTAAAATATTTACTATCTGGATTTCTATAGAAAAAGTTTGCTGGTCCTTCCTCTTAGCCACAGTTCCTTAAGACCTGCTCCGCTAAATAACCTTCCATTGTTTTTCTTGGGAAGACTAAGGACCTCACATCTGAGTGTGGGTTAAACTGGTTCTAAAACCTCAGATGACACCATCAAGTGGAAAATAGAAAAACTGACCCTCAGATGCTAGAACTAAAAGGCTCCTTGAAAATATCATAGACTATTTCTCTTTTTTCAGATAAACATACTAAGGCCTCATTTTCCTTTTATGCTGGAAGAGAGCTGATTTTGGAGATAATTTCTGAAAAAAAAATTCTTTGCCAGATATTGTTTAAAACAAAAGCTAATGTTCAAGAGCTATCTGTGTTGTGTAGGACCACAGTGGCATTATGCAGAGAGCATGAATGATTGATGATCATGGCCTTTAATTCTATGAAATATCACAATACAGACGACATACCTGTGCAGCGCGGAGTTTTTGTCTCTTTGGTTCGACTTCCTTGAGTACTCGAGAGTACAAATCTATTGCTCTTACCCACATGCACATGGATTTACATGCTTTGGACACTTTCTCTACTTTTTCAGGTACGAAATCGGGATTATTAATATACTTTTGAAGCTTTGCCAATATCTGAGGCTTTATGTTTTCCTTATCATATTCCAAGACCCTTCTTAGAAAGTTAGAGTCACCAAGAAGTTGCTTTGCTGTTGGCCAATCAGGCCTGAAAGACACACATGATAAGTTAATAGCATTGTAATAAGTTAATATAAGAACAAAAGAAATGTATTCCTTTGAGAACATCACAATATTATCCCAGTGGGTGGGAGCTTTAATCTCGGTGCTATCATCCCACTAATTGGTAGTTATGTACACCACAATTAATTCATGGGGAGAAAGGAAATTGGATGACTAAGTTTACATGCAACTCAGCTTTGGTAGAGAAAGAATTATAAAGTCATAGAGTTTTAGAAATGCAAGCCATTGTAGAAAGAATAGTTTCCTTTAAAAAAGGCACTAGGCACTCACGTTTTACCTCCTTTGCCCTGGTTTTGACCTTGAAAATCTCTTGCCAGGGCACTACAGTGGCCTTTTAACTGGGCTTTGTGTTTCTTGGTCAAACTTGCTCTTCTGAACTTTTGCCAGATTGGTCTTTCTACCATAAAAATCTGATTAGGTCAAAAATGTTCAACAGTTCTCAGGCCCCTCTGCCCAGTGCTCCCCAGGCCCTACCAAGTACCAACCTGAGGGTCAGTGAGGAAGCTTGGGGTGAGGGAGTGCTCTGGGCCCTTTGCTTGGTTTTACACAAAAAGGTTTATTATAATTCAATTTTTATTGAGAAAAGGGCTAAAGAAAGTTTGAAAACTACATATCTCCAAGATGAAATCTGAACTGCTTAGTGCAGCATACGAGACCTTTCGTGACATAATCACTGCTCTTCTGTCCAGCCCCATCCCATTCCGTGAGCATCAAAGTTCCTGAGCTCTTCCTTCCATCCCACTCTCCGACTGAGCATTCTCTTCTGAAAAACCTGCTCACACCTCCCCGGGTAGACTTAGGCATCTATTCTTGGCACTTTCAAAACTATGCAACTCTTACATTGTCTTGAAATCATTATTTTTCATGTTTGTTTCCCCACTAGACTATATGCATATTGTAGGGAAAAACTATATCTTTTATCATCTAGCACAAAATAGACGTTGGAAAAAAATGCTTGTAAATCAATTTGTTGAATGACCAATTGAATTGAAAATGGAGAAAAATAATAAAGGAATCCCACCAGGTATTCTGGTAACTCGTGATTCTGAATTACTCACTTGGCATTCAAGAGGATGGAGATGGCTTCCATTACAGTCATGACCAAGTCTGGGGGCTTTGTAAAAACTCTGATTTCAGATATATCTGCTTTATCCAAGGAATCCAGTGCTTTATTGGCAGCTTCAAGCGCTGGTAGCGCTTCGTCAAGATCTCTTTGAGCATCATCAGCTATTGCTTGGGTTTCTTCAGCTTTCACTTTTGCTGTAGCTTCATCTTCTTGCACAACGTGACGGACCTAACCATTGAAACGTGATTGCTTAAGTGGCCTCATTATTTGAATTTCAATGTTTAAATACAAAGTCAATAATAATGAGTCATATTTTGCCTTTGGATTAGACCAGTGATGAGAGGGAATTAGCTGAATTGCATTTTATGCTATCCTTTGTCTATCTCATGCCATGCTGATAGCGATATGGAGATACAATTGTTGTAACAAATAGCTCCTTCTTAGGAGAGGCATAGCTGCTTTATATTTGTAGGAGCTACTTTTCTCACAATTCTCTGTCCCACTCACTGAGCTGTACCAATTTTCGGGGACAGAACAAGGCTGATTTAGGAAAGGGAGATTGTTTACAACTTAAAACTATTGCTAAATTTACCACTTAATTATTTTATGACATATATAATGAAATAATCCAATCACATATCATTGTATATAAGTGATCAATTACTTACCAAAGCCTTTTTATCCATTCTGTCAGGTAATGCAGCTTACCTGATCAGCATTTTCTTGATCTAATGCCAATTTTTCCATCAAGGCTTCAACATCTTGTGATTTTGTTAAAAGCACAGGTTCTAAAGCTGAGAGATCTAATTTCATTTTATCTACCAGTAGGTTTGTTTCTAGTAGCTTGGTGAGACCATTCTTCACCCGATCTCGTGCCTAAATGACAACAAAAATTTCTATTTCAATGAGTATTATACACTATAAGTTTACTGGCATCTATTAGTCATGTATTAGAATTCTGCATCTACAGAATTGGTAAATCAGTTTGTAATACTTTAAGTTGTGAACGTATTACCAGTTGGGAAGTCTCCAGGTAATAGAACGCTAGGAAATGGCCATGACATTCACCATGGTGTGTTTGGATCCATGACTCCTGGCCACAGCAGTGGGACATCACTGGACTGTGGCTCACTAAGGGTGGGATCACATAATATTATTTTTATTCTCTGTGGCAGCATGTTGAATAAGCGAGGGACAAGTTCAGATGGAAACCCTTGGAGGCCACAGCTCTGGGAGCTTGTCTACTCAAGGTGGGTCAGTAGGGCTGATAGCCACCAGGGAGACAGGGCCCTGGGTGCCTAGCTGTGGTTGCTGGATCTGAACCCTACTTCCCAGTGGTAGACAGCTCTTGACTAGGATCGAAGGGGTGGTATATGGTACAGGGGACACCTGGGAAGAAATGTTTTTTGAAGGTGAGTCAGCAATCTTGGTTTAAATTGCCAGGTTTCAAAAATATTTGCTAAGTTATTTTACAAGTCATGCATTTTACCAGTTAAAAGTCCTCTGAAAGAAATTTTAACATATCTAAATGGTAAATGCTTCCATTTTTAGTGTGCTTAAAATGTTGAAAATTTTAGGTCATTTTAGCCTGATGATGATGATGATGGCAGCTACATTTTCTCAGCACCTCATTTGTATCATCAGATCACAGTCCAAGCCCTTCATGGATAGTGTCTTATTTAATTAAATTCCACAACAATCCTAGAGGTAGATGTAGATATTTTGTAATTGTATTTTCTACTCAGGCCTTGAGAAGTTATGTAATGTGGTCAAAGTTGCACAGCAAGAGGCAGAGCATAGGTGGCACACAGTTTGGCTCATCCTTGCTCTTAATGGGAACTGTTGATACATGTTAGACCACTAAAATCCCATCTCTATTGCCTAACACAAAGTTTTCCTCCATATTAAATACTGCAGAGATAACTAGTTCTCTGCTTAACTTTGATGATGTTGCAATGTCCATATTATTCTCCTGAGTCAAGGATACTTACAGAAATGATGGAAGAAAACTATAAATATCAAGGAAGGGGAAAACCCTTGAACCAACTGCATGAAGCACTTTTTGGTCATAGTGCAGGCTGTCAAGGGCATATGTCAGAAAGAAGAGAGATTCTGTATCCCTCTAGTAAGATGGTGCATAGATCTTTTCTTCCACTCATTCTCGATTTTTGAGTTCAAGGAAAAAAAAAAAAAAAAAAAAAAAAAGATTTTCCTTGACAATACTGAACTTACGGAAATTATCTGCTTCCTTTTTTCACTCAGCATGGACAGGTAAAGATTGATGAGCTCCAAGTAGGAGGTGGGCGTGGTGTAGTAGCGCCTGCGGAGCTCGTTGTAGTAGCGTTCTGCCATGTCGGACACGCTCAGGTGAACGTTCACGCACATGAGGGAAAGCTTTTCTTTCAGTTCTTCATTTCCAGGGTCGACATTTGAGAAAAATGTCTTTGACACAGAAAGAAGTGCTTCTCTGGGCCACTGTAAATAAAGGAATAATCTGGAAATCTGTTTGTCATTTTAATAACATATAGTTTAATAATGAAGAAAAATATATTTCTCTGGAGCTCTTCCTTTCCTAGTCCCCCCTTTCACCGAGTTAACTCCTATTCAGGTCTATGGTGCTTAACGAACTGAATGGCTTTATCCATTAGAGGGGGGCCTGGGTCTCCATTTGTAGACCACTGTGTCTCCCCAGCACAGTGTCAGGTGCATAGAAGTTGTTCAATAAATATTTGTTGATGGAATGAGTGAACGATTGGGTGTCTTTAGAATTCCCATGAATAGAATCACATACATTACAAGACCTCATGTCCTCACTCTGTTTATTATGCAGTTGGGATTTCAGGTCCATCATATAACTACTATCCTGTGTGCATCTTAAACCCTTTGATTCTCTCTTGTTTCTGTGAGCTCATCTGAACTTAGTCAAATGCAACTCTCTGCTACTCCATGCCTGCAACTTTGCAGCTGAGCATGCTGGAGAAAAACACACAACCATGTGACTGGCCTCACTTTAAGTTCATGACAAGTCACTCCTTAGTGCAGCCCAGAAATACTTCTACATTTTCTAATTCATTAGTTCTGTAATCTCCCAAGTGAGTATTTTACACCCTATCCTACTTCCTCAGACCACTAACATTTCTTCTTTCCTCTTCACTCTCAGCTGATGACCCTGCTTCTCACATGGCTAAAACAAATAGAAGCAATGCAAACAGAACTTCAAAAAGCTCTCACACCCTCCCACCTCCCTGCTTCAGAGCTCCTATACTTGGCCTCACCTCCTGTCACTCGGGTGAGCTGTGTGTGCTCCCTGCCCAGGTCAGCTCCTTCACTGATGACCAGATCCATCCTTTCTTGCTTATTCAAGGACAATGGTCCTACACGCTTAACTCTGTGTGCTGCATCTTCAATACATTTCTCTTTTTGGGATCAGTTTTCATCAGCACACACACACACATGCTGCTTATATTCCCCATTTAAAAATACTTTTCTCTTGACCTCTTATACCCTTCTAGCTATTACCCCATTTTTCTGCTTTCCTTTGGAGCAAAACTCCTTGAAAGAGTTGTCTCTACTCACTGTCTTTGATTCTCTCCCCTTTTCTCTTTTGAACCCTCTCCCCCAACATCCATTGAAATAGCTCTTGTCACTCGAATACTGATAACTTGTACTTAGTGAAATTCAGTTGTATCCTCCTCCTTTATTAATCATTTTGTTTTTGTTCTGTGATTGTCATTGTTATTCCCTGTATGAATGTAAATTCCCAGCAGGCTTTAAAGCTAGTGTGAGTACCTGTAAGTTATTCTCAGACAATGTGCTACCTCTTTAAAATCAAGCAAGTCCAACTTCTCAAAGACATATAGGATGTCACCAACCTGGACAAACCAGTCAATGGTGCAGCAGTTCACAAGGGACGGAAACATCCGGCATCGAGATCGAAATGCCTCCCCGACTGGGCTCATGCAGAGGACAATGTGCAGCTTCTGACGGACTCTGCTGATAAAGAATTGAAACACCTGACAAAAAGAAAGATATTTATTTAAAATAAGGATGAAGCAACAATGAAAATAGGTGTTGGCTAATACATTTAAGGCTACCAATATCAAATAAAAAAATTAGTATGGTAGATGTACAAACTGTTTTGTTCAGCATCCATTCCAACCCTTTCTTTCACACGGTCTAGAAAGATTAGAAACATTTTGCAGACTCTATTGCAACTATGGTTCTGGATATGATTTAGGTCCTCCTCATCAGTGTATTTGAGGAGACCCCTTGAATAAAGTGGAGAGAGAGATTCATACGAGGTTTCGCTTTGGGATGGAGGATAATTGGGATAGAGGCACAGGGTGCAGGACATCAATTTTTGCAGGTGCAGAGCCTGGCAGAAGTGGCATGGCTGCTGGGGCTATTATCTCTGGATGTGGCTCCTTATTTCAGCTGCTTCCTGACATGCTGGAGGACATATGGCTCTGCAGCTGAAGCAGAGGCATGCTGATTGGTTGCATGGCTTCCTGGTTCAGCAGGAGTGGTTGTGGCAGAGGCAGCAGCTTCCTTGAGCACTGGTGTCTACGGTGTGCATTTTATATTCATGCCAAGGAGTTGTCTGGAATCTCTTCTTTCACCCTTCCAATGATTCTGTATCCCTCTAGTAAATCCCTTTCTGCTTACATTGGCTGAAATAGAGTTGATGTCTATACCTATAATCCCCAACCTAGCAGGGGAGGAAAATCTTGCCAAGGGGCACAGAAAAGACATGAGAAAGAACAGCCAAAAAGTTAAAGAAGGTGCAGGAAGAAGGGAAAAGATGGGTAGACAAATAACAGTGTGTGAGCCTAGCATGATGCTGGAGAAACAGGTGGATAACAGCTGTGCTGTTCCTGAGAGAGTGAGAGAAAACGCATTTCTGTTTTAGCTGTGTCACAAATTTGCTTAGGGGATAGAAAGTACAAAACTCATGCCTTAGCCCCCCTTAGGCAAGATCCTGTGGGTGTGTGAAGTAAACTTGTGCTTAAAGAAGAGTAAGGGAAGCTTGCTACTTTGGATAAGACTGTAACTCCAGTGGGGCAGTAGGGTTTCTGTTGTCTGAGTCCATGGACATTTCTGGAAGTCTGGTGAACCAATGCTTTGAACGAAGAAAATAAAATACATAGAATTGCAAAGGAAACAAATTTTATTGAAAAAAATTCTATCTATAGACCCCTTAAGGGCATCTGTGAACTGTTAAATGAGAGGTTATGACAACTTTTTTTTTTTTAAAGCCATATAACTATTCTGGCATGTCCTACCTCGTCTCTATTCCCCTCGGAAATTCCTACTTCTTTTGCTCTTGGTCTGGTGGCTGCTAAAACCTGTTCCAGTTCATCCTTTTCAAATAAATTAGGCACTTCACCCGAGTTCAGGATGTTATTTATATCTTCTAGGAACTCCTCCACTACAATCTGTAGAAGAAAGCAGACAGGCCATTATAACTCACTCAATCATTTTACATTAATTGCATATAAATTATAATGCAAAGATTTATTCTAAAATTCACAGGAGTTAATTTTATCTTTAAGAGAATATAATCTTAAAAATTAGATGAAATTCTAAAATTCTAAAATAGCAAATACATTGATTTTTTCATTTTTCCTTCCTGTTTGGTTTCTTAAAAGGTATACCTGTTCCCCAATTTTCATCGCAGCACTTTTTTTTTTTTTTCCTTTTTGTCTTTTTTCGTGGCCGGCAATGGATCGCAACCCTCAGTGTCGCGCCCGTACCGGGCCGGGACCGGCAAGGGGATCGCAAACCTCGGCGTTGCCCCCGCACCTCGCTCAGCCAGTGAGCAGCCGGTCTGTATGTGGGATCTGAACCCTCGGCGGGAGCGCCACCGTGCTTCCCAAGCGGCGCACTATAGCAGTGCGCCACCGGGCCGGCCCCGCAGCACTTTTTACAATAGCCAAGAGTTGGAACCAGCCCAAATGTCCATCATCAGATGAGTGGATACGGAAACTGTGGTATATCTACACAATGGAATACTACTCAGCTACAAAAAGAATGAAATACTGCCATTTGCAACAACATGGATGGACCTAGAGAGAATTATATTAAGTGAAACAAGTCAGGCACAGAAAGAGAAATACCACATGTTCTCACTTATTTGTGGGAGCTAAAAATAAATAAATAAATACACACAAAACCTGGGTGTGGGGGAGGGCAAGAAGACACAACAATTACAATTCCTTGAAGTTGATACGACAAGTGAACAGAAAGGAGGTTGTTGGGAGGGAGGGGGGGAGAGGGAGGAGGGAGGGAGGTGTCAGTAATTGGCCACAATAATCAGCCACATTGTATATTGACAAAATAAAACAAAATTAAAAAAAATAAAATAAAAAATAAAAAAAGAATGAAAGTTAAAAAAAAAGGCATTCATATTTTACCTAGTTCAAGTGATATGTGCAAGTATTTTATATTCTTCACCTTTCAGTTTCCATTTTATCATAAATATTAATCTACTGTTCTCTAGAGTACTCATATTTACAATCATAGATATGGGAGTATAACAGACCATTGAGCTGATGTGCCTTACATTTACATGAACATGGTTTAAAGTGTTGTTTACATTATAAGAGCATCTTTAGGTTTTTAGCTTTTCTCCACAGTTGTATTATGGTCTTGGAATAAATTCCTAGGAGTGAGATTAGTAATTAAAGTGCATTAATCTTTTCTGGATTTTGAAGATTCTTCTATTTCTCTTTCAATTCAAGGATGACTTCATTAACCTTTAATATTTATTTTTGTTTATTTGGGGAGTACAAATGTTTCTTTTGGGAAAATTTAATTTGTATGTCTTTGATTATTAGCAAGGGAAAATACTATTCCACATTTATCATTTTCCATTAAAAAAATCTGTTCAAACTTTGCATGCTGGGGGTTTCATTTTAAATTTGAATGAATAATTTACATACTATAAAATAAACCTATTGCCTCTCATAATTGATACAAATATTTTAAAATATTCTATCGTTTACTCTTTAACTTCAGTTAATTTTTAGTTATATAGAAGTTTGAGTCCTATATATTTAACTATGACAACGTATCTGTTATTTTTTTCTTCATTTATAACTTCCTGTTTTTTCTTAAATGAACTTGACATAATTGTGTCTGTTAATTTTCCCAAGAATAAACAGTAGTTCTCTTTGTCCTAATTTATTTCTTTCTGCTTTTTATCTTACTGTTTCCTTTTCTTATTTGTCTTGATGCTTCCTTGTGGCCTTTTTCCTCCTAAAGTTTTAAGTAAACTGATTTGTGTAGTTTCTAATTTTTGATTCAAATCTATAAATTTAACTTTGAGAAATGTTTGGTTGCATTCCATAGATTTTTAAAAATATTTAGTTCTTTTCCCCTATTATCTAAACAGAGATTTTGATTTTCTTGATCTTTATATAAGCATTCTAAAGCACTCAGCCACATCATTAATTTCTCCTTTGATTAAAGCACAGGCAAAGAAGGTTATTGTACAGTTTATGCTTTTAAAAATTCAATAAAAATTTCTTTAAACCTAATATATGATCAGTTTTTGTAAACTTTCGGTAGTATTAGAAAAGATTTGCTTCCTCTGTAAAATATAAATGAGGTATTTCAAAAAGTTGTGGAAAAATAGAATTAAAAGATAATACAAATCATTCTATAAACTTTTTGAAGTACCCTGTGTTGGCTATTAACTCTGGCTTAGAAATCATGATATTTATATTATTTAAACATACTTATTTCTCCTTTGTATTTGCTAGGAATAGCAAATTAAACTCTGTTTTTTAACATCTTATCTCTCTCAATTTCTTCTCATATTTATAATAGTTTTGCAAATATATGTGTATGTACATATACTCCTATATACACACCCAAGCATTCCAGTTATTTTGGTTTTCACTCTTCTTCACTACAGGACATTTGAGATCAGCTGAGGCTTTCAACAGAGTGTAATAGCTTTTTGTTTGCTTAAAGTGGAGCAGGACAGTATGACTTGATTTTTGGAGCTATAATACTTTGAGTCTTTTTATACGACTTGCTTGACTTTTAAAAGCAATGCTAAATCAACAGAGTAACAATTATTCTTTCAGAAGGAGAGAAAAAATCTAGGGTAATTAGAGGGGGTGTGGGGAGGGAGTGGGGACGGTGAGAGATTGGACAAGGGGCATAAAGAATAATTATGATTTGTAACAATATATATGCTAGTAATATTGATTTGATCAACATATCTCAATGTTGAACCCCCAAAATATGTATAATCAATTTTTTTTTTTAAAAGATGACCGATAAGGGGATCTTAACCCTTGACTTGGTGTTGTCAGCACCACGCTCAGCCAGTGAGCGAACCGGCCATCCCTATATGGGATCCGAACCTGGGGCCTTGGTGTTATCAGCACCACACTCTCCCGAGTGAGCCACGGGCCGGCCCCTGTATAATCAATTTTGATTCAATAAAAATAAAAAAAAAATAAAAGCAATGTTAAAGATGCTATAAGAAATATCTTAATTTTAGAATAACTAGAAACTATAGATAAGCAAAACTCAAAACCCCATGACCTAGATGTTTTCTAATTGCACATATGGCATATCTACTTTGATGTACCTTGAACCCAAGAGCTTACATGGTAGATGTTTTGTACACATGCTAATGATGTAACAACACATTCTGAACATTTTCCACATTAATTAATGGATATGTTTCTACAATATGATTTTTCATTTTTTACATAATTCTCTATTATGTGATCATGCCAGAATTTACTTATCTGACTCTCTCTCTCTGGAGATTAAAGCTCTTTCAAATTATTATTTAAAAATATTACAGTAGATACTGTTGTACATGAAACCTTGAATGCAGCTCTGATTATATGTAAGTGAAATTTAAAGGCTTTATCTACTAACTTTATTGCCAACTACCGTCCAGAAACGTTTTGCTGACTTACAGTCTTCCAGTGAGAAAAGTCTTCCAGGTCTATTTCCCCCATAACTTTGCTAATGCTGCATATTATGATTTTCAAACTTTATCAATTTTCAAGGCCAAACCATTGGCATTTTTATTTATTTAAATGTCTTTTAGTAATGGGGGAGCTGAACATTTCTTCAGGTGTTTAAAGCCCTTGTTTGTTTTTGGGAACTCCTTATTCACATTCTAATTACAGTTTTATATTTCTTCTATTAGTGTGTTTGCTTTTCATTTTTCATTTGTATAAATATTTATATGCTAAGATATAAACTCATTGCATGTCATAGATGTTAAAAATATTTTTCGCGTTTTGTGTTTGCACTTAATCCTACTTAACAATATTTAAAAATTAAAAAGAAGCTTAAAATATTTGTATGTCAAATCTATCACTTTTTAATTTCTTGGCTAATTTCCAGAAAGGTTTATTTTTCCTAAACTTAAATTACCCAAAAGTAATGAATGTAGAAAATCCTCACCTGGAGTATTAATTCAAGATCAGCTAAATTGGCTGTTGTAGATATAGATATAATCTTACTTCAGTTTTTTTTTTTTAATCTTACTTCAATTTTAAAGTTAATTTGGCCCTAAAACATAGCCCTTATTTTTTCCTTTTCTTGGGGAAAGCATATTTCTTTAACTGATTTTATTTAGGGAATTATTTTCTTATATATACTTCTAAAGACAGAGTTTATTACCTTTTGCTGCTATCTTTTTCTTTTCCTCAAAGAAAAGTTAAAAACTTTCTCACCTCTTTAACCTTTGATCATATTTAAGTACTTAGAATTTAAAGGGGGAAAATACTTAAAACAAATAAAAGAAATAAAATGTGTTATAAAAGTCTTTTACAAGGTGCAGGAAATCTGTTATCAAAGGGAACGATCTGCTGAAATTTGTCCTACAAAGTGTTCAAAGCACACACTGGACCATGATACCTGTATATTTCCTGTTCTTACTCGTGGGCCACTTAAACATGTACCTGGGTGTCCGTGAAAAGGAAAACCATATTGCTGTCTTCTACGCCAGCCATTTTGTACAACTTCCTCAGGTCTTCGTGAAAACTATCATAATTATATCCCCGGCTAAGTTCAATCTGCAAGCATCTGTAACCACATATATGAGCTGCAAGTCTCGTAAGAGACTGCTTTCCTGTGCCTCCTACTCCCACAAGGAGGGCATTGCCTCTTTCCTGACGAATCATCCGGGCAATCCTGCAGGGAGCAAAGCAGAGAAAGATTTAATTCAAGTTCACAGATGTGCTTCTGCTCAGAGGGCCTGCCCCACCATGGAAGGCTGCTGGCCAGCGGAGCTCAGCTTTGAGCAGGATGCTGCAAGAGGAGACTTTATGTCTGAGGCTCAAGGTAGGATGAACATTACTGCTGGGCTTTTCCATTTTCCTGTCTCTTCCTCATTTCCTACAGGCTGTTGGCTCTCTGCCTTAGTTGTGCAAATTTAGAATAAAGTAAAATCTCTCCTCCCTTTGTCAAAGTGTGAAGGATCTTGTCAGGGACCCTGGCTGATCTAGGACACAATGTATGTTAACCATTATATCGGCAAGCCCAGGTCTCCATTTACAAGGATGAGCGAGCAGAAAAATGACTGGACCTAGGAAAAGACACTGTAGTTCAGAAGAAATCAGAAAAACAATTTGAAATAGATTTGCTGCAAGATAATAACAAAATTTTAGGTTTTCCAAACCATGTTAACGAGAATTAAAGAAAGCACTACCATCATGATACTAGTGAGTACTTAGAAAGAAGGAGAAAAAAATCTGAGTTTAGGAAAAATTGAATAAAGATGGAAAATCTGACAACCGACCTGCAAACCTCAGAGGAAAATTGAATAGGTAAAGTAGAGGACAAACTCAAGGAATATACTCAAAATTCGGAGAAAAAAGACAGACAAATCTAGGAGAAACAAATGGGATCCCAGAGGCCACATAGCAGGAATTACAGAAGGAGTAACAAGAAGGGTAGAACCGATGCCACAGTGACTGAAGCAAAGGAAGAAACCACCAGAGCGAAGTCCACAGACCCAGAGCAGTCACTGAGGGTCAGGGATTTAAAAAAAAAAGAAGAAGAAGAGAAAAGGAGAAAGGCGAAACACTAAATATTTTCTAGGAGATATATCAATATAGTATTATATAAAATAGAAATCTACATTTTAGACATAACTGAAAAGTTTTGTGAGCATCTAAGGCAGAAATAATAGATTACACCCAAAGGAACAAATACTTTTAGGCTGGCCTCAGACATCTATTCTATGAGATGACACTCTATAACACAATGAATAGAGAGGGAAAAATATCATGCTGTGGCCCGGAGAGTAAATCATCTGCAAACACTTTCTAAAAAATTTCTGGAAGATATGCAGAAGTATGAACAAAATTAAAAAAACCCAAGAAGGGGGAAGAAACAGTATAAAAGTGAATGTTATATAGATTCAAGTCTATATATTGTTTAGATGATAAAAAATGGAATGATAATTGAAAGATCTTGATCATGGAATGATCTTGAAAAGAAGATACAAAGTGTAAAAATAATTTCTTTTTGAAATTATCATTATCAATGTCTAAAATCTCAGACTGGGTCAGCAAAACTAGAAATCATGGGTGAAATTTAAAAGCATGTTTAATTTTGTCTTTTTTTTTTTTACAAGAAGCGTATATTATCTGTCTATCATCTATCTAGTTTTATTCATGATGCTGATAATTGGAGAAAACGATGTTCAAATATTTTAAAATTATAATGGCTTTATAATTATGAAAGTATAACATCGTTTCTGTAATCCTTGAGAAGACACCCATGCAAGCCCTTTCCCTCATGTGAGCTCCATCATGAGGCTGGATGCTGTCCCGTTCTCATGAGAACAGTGCACAGCATCATGGCAGGTGCTTCATAAATTATCTGTATTCCAATAACCAACTTCTAGAGACCTGGACAGCTGTGAAATAGGGAGCACCGATTAGCTATTATACTCCATCATCTTTGGTGGCAGGAATAGGAGCTGTGTAGTGTGAGACCAGAGCAGGGAGTCTACAAGGACTTACTTAAGGAGTGCTCCTCCAAGGACAAAGTACAGACTCCTAGTCACTATTTAGGATCTTCTGAAACAAGAATCAAACTTTCAAATTGGTCCTCTCTAACCTCACTCCATCTCCTGCTCCTCAGACAGGTTTGCTCTTTCCATACCCTGAATGCCTGAGAACATTGCTTTGTCTAGAACAGGGGTCAGCAAGCTATGGCCTGTGGGCCAAATCCTGCTCTCTAACTGTGTGTGTGTGTGTGTGTGTGTGTGTGTGTGTGTGTGTTCAATGGTCTACGAGCTAAGAATGGTTTTCAGATTTTTAAATGGTTGAAAAATATTCAAAAGAGTAACATTTCATATGTGAAAATCATATGAAATTCAAATATTAGAATATATAAATAAAGTTTTATTGAAACACAGCCAAGCTCATTCATTCACTTATTGTCTGTGGCTGTTTATGCATTACAATGGCAGAATTGAGTGGCTGCAACAGGGACTGTATGGCCTGAAGAGCTTAAGATGTATTTTTAAAAATACACTTTTTAATTGACACATAATAATTGTACATATTTATGGGGTACAGTGTGATATTTTGATACATACATACAATGTGTAATGATCAAATCAGACTAATTAGCACATCCAAGACCTCAAACCTTTATCAATAAAATATTTTCTATCTGGCCCTTTACAAGAGAAGTTTGTTGACTCCTTCCCTAGAACCTTTTGTCGATTCCTTCCTTGGAAAAACCAAGACCCACAGGCACCATTTTTATTGCTGCGACTCTGTCACAATGCACATCTAGTGGAAGATGCATAAGATTATCTGTTTGCTTGTTTCTCTTGTACATGTGAGTACAAAACTGAGGGCTGAATAGATATAATAATTTTTTTTTATATTTTCATAATGCACAAGTATCCTACAGTGGATGAAATATTGAATATTGTGAAAATCTTGCACTTCATATGTCACTCTTTCCTTGTTCCATGTACATTATTATTTATATTAGTTTGATTATTTCTATCTGAGATTATTGGAAACAAATGACTTGTCCATTCTGCTTCTTCATGTTATTTTTTCTGGTAATTTACCAATAAATAGTTCAAAAACGCCCCTCAGTGAGAATCCTCTAATGTAGTGGGCATGTTACATTTTCTCTGATGCAGTAGGTGACAGTTCACTCTCCCACTTAGTGGCTTATGTTTTAATAGATAGATCTGTTCTACCACCCTTGGAGTGTGGTGAAGACTTGCAGGCATGTGATGGGTAGAAATTGCCTGGTGTGGCACAGAAAGAGAAATACCGCATGTTCTCACTTATTTGTGGGAGCTAAAGATAAATAAATAAATATACAAACAAATAAAGGGTAGGGAGGGAAGAAGACACATCAATCACAGCAATTCCTTGTACTTGTTAAGACAAGTGAACAGATACGATGTAGGTGGGGGGGAGGGGAGAGAGGGAGGGGGAAAGAAGAACGGGTAAAGGGACACAAAAATCAACTATAATATATACTGAGAAATTAAAATAAAAAGGAAAGAAACTGCCTGGTGCGTTTGCCCCTTAAAGCACTAGTTCTGAAGTAAATTTTTTTCACTGAGTTGGGAAGACTTTTACCCACTTACCCTATGCCAAGAAACGAAAAACAAAATTATTTCCAATAAATGGAAATGCAGGATGTGCTAAATTTCTGAATATTATAACTCCATAACTCACATTTATAACGAAGCCCTTTCCATCGCTAACCAGTGTTTGAAAGCTCTTACTTACAAGTAGAAATATGTTTCTCTGATTCCTAACTACTAATCTTCTTTAGAAAAAAAGAGAACGCGTCTACATGGTTATTTACATGGCAGTCCTTTGTGTATCTGAAAACCAAATCTCCACCATTCTACGCATGGTTTTTAATTTCCCCCTGTAATATTTTAAACAAACCTTGAGTGGCCTGGTGATTCTGTCTCACAAAAGTAAGACAGATTATAAATACAATTCAGCTGGCTTTACCTATCATCTGGTCTATTCTCCAGGAAGTTTCTCAGACCAGAGTGCTGACATTATTTTTTTCCTTGCAGGCTTAGGGACTGCCTGAGCTATGGGAATAAAAGTTGTCAGGGGATAGAGTGTGGGTATGCTGGCAGTGAGACGGATGGGGAGCAAATGGTTGTATGTTATAACACTCGAGCTGTGACAAACAAATTCTTGAATTAAAGTTAATTAAAGAGCAGAAAGATAGGACAAGTGAAAGACTTTATTTGCTTATGGTTTATGTGAAAAAAAATCCTGGGGGTTTAATTGTCAATCTTAACAAGGACCAACACTAAAATGTAGTTGGCTTGGGGAAAAAAAACAAAGCTGTTAAAATCCTGCTGCAGCAGTAGACCATGGGAAATCCTGTTCTCTCTTGTATTTCATGCTGTTTATTCTACAGAATATGATATAAAATCTTGGTACCACACTTTAAGTGGAACATTGAAAAATTACAAAGTGCTCAGTATGTCGAGGGCTGGAAATAATCTCTAACAGGCAATATGAAAGACTGGGATAATTTGCTTAGAGAAGATAAAGCTAAGAAAAGCATGGGGATGATTTTTAAATATTGGGAGGGCTGCCATGAAAAAGAGTGAGCCGATTTTGGGTGGGAGGACCTGCAGTGGAGATAGAGCCAAATCACTGGACGTGATCCCCAGCCTACCAGTCCACTACATAAAGGACTTCAGACCTAACCTCTCAGCGGCCTACTGCATTGTCCCAAAAATGGCTGCAACAATGTTTCTGGTCCTGCTCACTCTTTGACTCCATCGACAGTCTCTGTTCTCTTCTAATGAACCTGGGTGGGGCTATATGACTGCTTTGACTGAAGAGTATGATAGAAGTGATGCTAGGTGACTTTCAAGGCTAAGTCAAAAAGGCCATTTAGCTTCTGCCGGGCTCTCTGTCTTGGAGCACGTGCCTTTGGAGCCCTGTGCCACCCTGTAAGAAGCCTGGACACCCTGATGCTGCTGTGCTGGAGAGATGTGTGGAGAGACCACATGGAGGCAGAGATGATCCGGGGGCTCTAGCTGCTGTCTGATTGCAACTGCAATTAGAGATTATGGTAAAATGAAGCTGCTAAGTGTTGGAGTGGCTTATTACATAGCAATAGGCCACTGGAACATTCTCTGAGCCTTATTTGTAAAGAGATTATGATACTGAGCCATAGAGAGAGGTGTTGTGATGGTTAAGTGAGATGCTGAATATCGTGGTTTTATATGTACACTGAGTGCCATTATTATTACTGCTCCACAGGAAGGAATTGACACCTGAAGTCATAGGAAGGTCACTTTAACACTTAGAATTGTCCAACAGGATAAGAGCCACTTCAATAAGTGTTGCATCACCCTCCCACAACCAGGCAAACCCTGCCAGTGCCTTGGGGCCTGCCCAGGGACCTGAGGCATGGGGAAGGGTACTGGACCCTCCTCCCAAAACCAGGCACACCGAGCCAGCTCCTTGGGTCTTGCTTGGTGACCTGAAGCATGGAGAAGGGGACTGGACACCCCTCCCACAACCCACCACACTGTGCCAGTGCCTCAGGGCCTTCCCGGGGACCTGAGGCATGGAGAAGGGGACTGGACTGCCCTCCCTCAACCAGGCACACTGCAGTAGCACCTCAGGGCCCACCCAGGGACCTGGGGTATGGAGAAGGGGACCAGACCCCCCTCCCACAACCAGGCACACCAAACCAGCTCCTTGGGTCTCACCTCGTGACCTGAAGCATGGAGAAGGGGACCGGACAGCCCTCCCACAACCAGGCACATGGCGCCAGCACCTTGGGACCTGCCCAGGGACCAGAGGCATGGAGAAGGGGACCAGACACACCCCAGAACCAGGCATACCACCAGTGCCAAGGAGCATACCAAAAACAGCACCTCCATGTGGGTGGCCCACCACAGCCACCACAATAACCATGGCTGCTGTGAAACAGCTAGACACCACAACCACCATGCAGATGGTCTGCCAACCACTGGAGTGCATTCACACACACGGAGAGTCACCAGCAGAGACAAAGAAAAGAAGAGGATGTCTCTTTCCACAAAGCCCATTTCAGAGTGACAGAAGAAGCATCTGCTCTATGATAATATTGGGGGACCTGA